ATTTCCTGGCTTAGATACATCCCCTTTTATCCATTTTGATGACAAGTATTTTCAGACGGAGGGAGTACTAGTCAGGTTGGGCCTTCAGCCGGCCATAAGGAGGGAGAGTCTTGTTGACTTTCCAAAAAACTATTTGTTGTTATGGATGCCAGGTGTTACGCCGGTGGCTTAAGGGGAGTTTCCTATTTGGCGCATATGCGCCCGCTTGCGAACCGACGCCTGAAGTGCTCGCGCGATGGGCCGGCCCAATAGGTTTTCTTCTTCTCTGTTTTAATCAGCTTAAAATTATTATGTATACTCGAGAGATAAAAGCTTTTCCATGTGAAATTTCCAGCTGAAAGTTTATTATTTTATGTAATTATGCCAAAATCTCAATATGACATTTAGCAGTACATGCGTGTGGTGGTTGCACATTTCCTGTCTTCCAGACTACTAGTCAGGTTGGGCCTTTCAGCCGACCATAAGGAGGGAGAGTCTTGTTGACTTTCCAGAAAACTATTTGTTGTTATGGATGCCAGGTGTTACGCCGGTGGCTTAAGGGGGGATTTCCTATTTGGCGCATATGCGCCCGCTTGCGAACCGGCGCCTGAAGCGCTCGCGCGATGGGCCGGCCCAATAGGTTTTTTTGTTCTTTGTTTTAATCAGCTGAAAGTTATTATGTATACTCGAGAGATAAAAGCTTTTCCATGTGAAATTTCCAGCTGAAAGTTTATTGTTTTATGTAATTATGCCAAAATCTCAATATGACATTTAGCAGTACATGCATGTGGTGGTTGCACATTTCCTGGCTTCCAGACTACTAGTCAGGTTGGGCCTTTCAGCCGGCCATAAGGAGGGAGAGTCTTGTTGACTTTCCAGAAAACTATTTGTTGTTATGGATGCCCGGTGTTACGCCGGTGGCTTAAGGATGTGTATTATTTAGCATACGCCTTCTCTGACCGAAATCTTTGGAGATTGTTCCGTATTCTTTTTTTTTGGGAACTAGGACACAATGGGGAAATGCACCAGGTGTTATACCTAATCTTTGGAGATTGTTCTGTATTCTTCATAAGCCTGTGTACAAGCTCGAAATGAAGAATGTGATCTCGCCCGTGAAAGATATGAAATTATTTGGCAAAGCTAGCAAATGGGGGAGTTATGAACTAGCCACATCTTGTGAATTATTGAAGGTGGCAAAACTCAAGTTCAAGCATGTAGATGGACTTAGTAGATCAATAGGTTATTAAGCTTGTAAGTCGAACAGATTTTTTAAACCGTGAATATTTTGTGAATTTGTGAACACATTTTAAAACAGGAACTTTTTTGAAATCCCGAGTTTTTTTAAAAAATGCAAGCAGTTTTCTCAATTCCAAAACATGTTTTGAATATGTGAAATTTTTTTATGCTCCCCGAACCATTTTTAAACGTGACATTTTGAAGGGGACATTGTTTCAAATTCCAAACAATTTTTTAAAATGCGAACATTTTTTATGCTCCCCGAACCATTTTTTAAACGTGACATTTTTTAATATGTTAACAAATTTTGAAATGTTTTTTTGTAACATTTGTGATTTTTTGAAAAAAAATAAAGAAGAAACATGAAACATGAAAAAATGGAAAAGGAAGAAAATAAAAAAAGCCAAAAAATAGTTAAACAGCAGATAAAAAGAAAATTTGTTCAGGAATCCTCGAGAAGGTTTCAAAAAACAGCTAAAAACACAACTTGGTACCTTTTAGAAGGTTCCCAAAACCAGGATTCTGTATATACGGACCTGATGAGAAAAATGGGCTGGCCCAGTAACTCATCATTGTCGATAGCCTGTGCGTTGGTCGATTATTGGATGCAGTAAGCATCCAATAGGATTTGTGGGATTTGCCCACTTCTCCTTGTCGTGCATCTTGTATTTGTGCCGCATAAGCACATATTGGTAAATCGCGAAGGATCTACGTCTAGGCCACTCAAGGTTTTCCTACAAGGAGCGGTTCAAGGTGTCCGAAGGAGTGAATTGCAAAAAACACCTAGCCTGAAGTGTCGATGCTTTTTGCAATTCACTCTGGCTCTTAAATGGGGACGGAGACGAGGGCGGTGACCACCGAAGCCACTAAGGCCTTGTACAATGGAAGGTGCTTAGAGAGATGCTTAGAAAAATAAACCAGGTTTTTCTGAAGCACCGGTGCCTGTTTCTATAGAAGAGATGCTTAGTTAAGCGTCTATCCTGTATAAATAAGCATCGGTGCTTAAGGAAAGCCTGGTTTATTTCTCTAAACACCTCTCTTAAGCACCTCCCATTGCACAAGGCCTAACCCAAACCCTAATAAATAGGCATCGAGCCGACAGGAGCAAATAATCTTCAATCGGATCCAAGATCTCCATAATCTTTAATCGGATCTCCAAGATCTCCAAAAGCTCATTATCTGTTTGATTACTTAGTCCAGCCAAGCAGATCCAATCTATACACCCTGTCTAGATCGTCCATCTCCAACTCGGCGAGTTGACCCATAGCCCGCTGAAACACCACTTGTACACTTAAGAGTAGGGTTGTTACTTGGTAGTACGTGGGATCCCGAAGTAGGTAAAATTCGTGCTCCTGTCCATCTGGTAACCTGGTAACCTGGGGTGATATCTCACTGCCAAATTATGTGTGGTTGTCATACTATTGTTAGGTATTTTGCTAAACACACCTTGACATCAGGCTAGTAGGAAACCTAGACGGCACGACACGGTCCAAAGCACAACACACCATGAAGTAAAACGGGCTACACTGGCCTGACATGACCTAACAGACAGGGCTTGATCTGAAAAGGGAGCAAATTGGAAGGCACGAACTACCTAATACAGTGTTGCAGGCCGTGCTTGGGCTGGCCCGGCTCGAAAACAAACTGTAGCATAGAACTGAAGAAATAGTGCCTGTCACTTTTTCTTTTGAAGAAATAGTCCTCGCGGTGCTGTCTGGCAGTTTCAAGAATACACGGCATAAAATGCATATAGGGTTGTTGCGCGCGAAATACCATGGTGCACCCGGGTGCCAATGCACCCTGCATGCGCAAAATAATTTAATAATTGGAAAAAAGAAGTCAAACCTAAACTTTTCTGGAATCAAATATGGTCAAGTATAGTGTTCATATTAAAAGGTTCGCCAAGGAATGACTTTCATGGTATTTTGGGCGGAAAAATACAAATCAAAATGCTGTATACAAGTACTATTCGCTAGTTTGTCCTTAAAATTTTGTTTTTTGCCCTAAAGTCAGCGGGGGTTATTTTTTGGCGAAACTTTTTTTACGAGCACAATACTTGACATATATGATTTTGAAAAATCATAATTTCTTCTATTTTTTTACAATTGCTAAATTATTTTGTGCATATAGGATTAGGATACATTAGCATCCCAGGTCACAGATGGGGAGGCACGCCTATGCCGGCTCGGCACGACCATCCGTGGTCACGGCGGCATCATGGGACGCTGGTGGTGCAGGCTTTGGTGGATGACGGGTTGGTGTGTGCTTGACCTGAAATAATTCGGTCGCCGTCATGCTTTTGGGAAGTACGTGCCGATTTCTCATACAGCCTAGCAAACAAACAGGCTAGACTCAGCCAGGATGGTGCATACAATGCAGCGTGAAGCTATGCAAAAGGAACCAAACACGCCTCAAGTTTCCTTCCGTCGTGCAGCCATCTCTTAAGGGCTAGAAAATCTGCCTTGAGGATGCGTTTGTGGAGAACGAGCGAGGAGAAAAGCTTACATTTCGGTCAGTTTGCGAACGCAATATATTGACAGCATCAAATCTTCGATATATCCGCTGAATTGGACGAGATATGAGCTACTCCCAAGGTCAAATCTTGAGTACGTGGCTGTTTGTTTTGACCACGCATGTACATTCAACGCGCCAAGTATTCTTCTGAATTTACTTCTAAGGAGGCAAGGACGAGATATGAACCACGTACGGTTGTTACTTTATGTACTGACAAAGCAAAAACGAATATGAGGGTACGTTCAGTTAAGAATAATGCATGCGCAATGCATGGACTTTTGGATAATACTTTCTGTATCATCGCCATCAGTATGCTCCCTCAGTTTACGAATAAGATGTTTTGGACATTTCAAATAGGCTACATATAAACTGAAATGAATAAACAAATACATTAAAACATGTTTATATACATTCGATTTCATAAAAGTGAAAACATTTTATTTGTGAATGGAGGGAGTACGTATGCCGTTCTTGTCAATGGTCATATACTCATATGCGGGAAAAGTACCAAGTGATACAACACCTTAAATGCTCCCATGATACCAACTTTGAGATAACAAATTTAAATGTTTCAAGAATTTCTGATTTTTTTGTGAATGTTCACAACTTATGTGACTACAACCCCTAAAAAAGTCAGATCAAAATTCAAAATACACATTAAGAAACAAAAGCGACAAATCTGGAATGAAAAGTGTCAAAAAAGTCAAAAACAGAATTGACACTGTTCATATCTGGATTTGTCTTTTTTATTTCTCATTGTAAATTTCGATTTTCAACCTGAAATTTTCAGCAGTTGTAGACACATTCCTTGTGAACGTTAACATTTTTGAGGTTTTTTTTTGAAACTAGAATTGACTTTTTTGAAATTGTAGCATGGGAGCACGTGCGTCTTGATACTGGATATTCTCCCATCATATGCGTGCTAGCGAGCATTAATTTGGGCCAGCTGGTCAACGACTCGATGCGCGGGACAGATACTTAATTTCACATCATGGATCGTCAACTGATCCAGCTCGCGATCAGTTTAGTGCTCCCTCCGTTTCAAAAAATTTGTCTTGGATATCTACACAAGTGACTTGATACACCCGTATCTAGACAAATATAAGACAAGAAGTTTGAGATGGAGGGAGTACTAACATCGCATATACTACTCCAGTGTATATTTATATCCTATAAATAGGAGTAGTGTTGTTCGGGGATCGATCACATAGCTAGCTGTCACATATAGCACGTTGATTGGGCAAACACATCACACAGGAAAGTATTACTCCATGGGAGGTCAAAAGGGTCCTGCTGGGGTTAGTGTGATCATGGTGGGTCTGATCATAGTGATCATGGCCACTGCGGCTATGAGCTGCTCGGAGAAGGTAGCCACCAACAAGAAGACGTCGTGGCCGGAGGTGGTAGGGCTGAGCGTGGAGAAGGCCAAGGAGATCATCCTCACGGACAAGCCGGATGCCGACATCGTCGTCCTCCCCGTCCTCTCGCCGGCTCGCCGGTCACCAAGGACTACAGGTCCGAGCGTGTCCGCATCTTCATTGACACCGTCGCCGAGATCCCCCACACTGGCTAGCTAAGCTATCTGCCTGAACATAAGGCCATGCTTGGATTCAAGGGACTATTTTTAGTCTGACTAAAACTAGTCTTTTTTAGAGGCTAAAGTTCCAATCACCCCTGACTAAAGAGAGGATAGAACTAGTCTTGAGACTAAAAAATTTTAGTCAGGAGAACCCTACTAAAATGTGGATTTGTCCTTTCTCTCCTCATTTAACTTCTCTCCTTTAACATATGCGAGTTCGAGATTGGAGGATTTGGAGGATAATAAATGCTCATTAACTCATTTTAGTCTATTTAGTATTTGTATCCAAGCATGGGTGAGGCTAGCAAGTTTTAGTCCCACTACTTTTAGTCATGGGACTAAAACGTATCCAAGCACCCTCTAAGTATTTCTTTTTGTCAAGGATATACTTTGGACCAATAATTTCATATACGCCCGCTCCATATGGATCAATGCATGGATGTCATGGGTTTGTGTGCTAGCTCTTGGATCCCTCGTATTGCATCTTTTTCTTTACGAGCTTTTTTTCCCTATATGGTTGGACGGAGTTGGATTATCTTCGGGCCACCCTTGGTGTCGGCTTCTCCAAGATGTTGGTCTATGTTGACAACTTTTCAGGCACTTCTTGTATAAACTTCTGCCTGAAATCTAAAAAGTGGCCGCACACTTTTTGATCGAACCGAGCGGCCGGCTCTCACAGCGCATGCATGTGGTAATTTATTTGTCTGCTAGTGCATGTAGGCGTGGCATTAAATACGTTCACAGTGCTTCTTTAGTTTAAGGAAGACAGATCCATCTGCATTTATTTCAGGTTTTTAAAAATTCAAAAAGCTATATCTTTCAAACCGCGCGTCGGAATTCAAATCTGTTTTCACCATTGAAATCCTCGCGACGAGATCTTTGAAACTAGATCCCGCATGGGTATATTTTGACGAATTTTTTTCGATGCCAACTTTGGAGCTATATAGTGCAACTCTATTACTGCATTGTGCAACTTTATTACTACATCGTGCAACTTTTTTCCAAAACTAATGTTTGGAGCTGCGCCTTCGTATGAGGTTACAACCTAGCAACCACGACAAATTTGATGTGCGACTAGTCTATTGCCTCGACGAAAGTCGATGTGCAACCTCCTCTTGTAATGTAGTCTAGTCGCACACACATGATGTTTAGTTGGCTTGTAATGTAGTCTAGTTGCACATACATTGATATTTAGTTGGCTTGTAATGTAGTCTAGTTGCACACACATTGATGTTTAGTTGGCAGAAAGACTATTTGCACACGCATATGCTTAGTTGGCTTGTAATTTAGTCTAGTTGCACACACACTGATGTTTAGTTGGCAGGACACTAGTTGCACACACATATGCTCAGTTGGCGTGGCAATCTAGACTAGTTGTACACACATTGATGTTTAGTTGGCAGGACTTTTTTGGCACACACACATATGCTCAGTTGGCGCGGCAATCTAGTCTAGTTGCACACACATTGATGTTTAGTTGGCAGGAAGACTAGTTCGTCGAAATATCCCCATGCGGGATATAGTTTTGAAGAGCACGTTGCGAGGATTCCAGCGGTGAAAACGGATCTTAATTCCGACGCGCGGTTTGGAAGATATAGCTTTTTGAGAATTTGAAAACCGAAACAAATGCCTATGCGATCTGTTTTTTCCAACTGATTGTGACCGATGTGAATGTATTAAATGCTAAAAAATACATGCGCTAGCGGACAAAAATTACACACATGCATGTCTATGCAGAGCAGACGCTAGCGGATAAAAGAATTTCTATTTTAGGCCGGCCGCTCGCGCATGCCAGCGAGCAGCCGGCCGCTACGTAGACTCGTCCAAACTTCTGGGTTTCAGCAAGGTTGCATGAGCCAGAGGTCTGAGCTAGCTTTGCTCACGGCGAGCTCAGATGGATGCACAAAGAAGACGGTTAATTTCCTTAAAGGACTTGCCTCTAATTTCTTGTTATTCTAAGAAAGTTTTCAAGGGCTTTTTTTAGAATTTGGGTATTTAATATATACTATATGGGCGTTGTCTTTCCACAAAAAATATTAAAAAGGAAAAAGTATTGCTTCATGAAATTTAACTTTTATGTTTATATTTGTGTAAATTTTTACGGTATACTATCATTTAAGTGGACCTATAAAAAAAAGTGGACCTATAAAATATATACGATCACGCATTAAAAAAAAACGATCACGACCATCATACTCTGAGCCTTTATCGCAAAAAATCTGTTAATAATACAAATCGGCCGCCGCCGCTGCCCGCTCAGATGCAGATCCCTCTTTCCGTTCTACGCCCCCTCCGACACCCTAACGTCGCCGCCCCAATGCACCGCCTCTCCTCTCCCTCGCGACGCCTCCTCTCTTCCATGGCATCTCGCTGGTGGCCACCAGCGCTTGCGCGACGACTCGTCCCGCCTGTCCGTCGTGTTTCCTCTGAGGTCACAGATGGGAACCCCAGTGGCTGCGGGGAAGATCCAAGGAGCGCAACCAAGGGTCGTACGACTGAAATCTTGATCATGGAGGACGAAGAAGAAGTCAGCGACATCGATTACACCGTGGAAGTTAATGCTATTCCACAGAGCAGTCACCGTGATGGCTCTATCTACAGGGGCATGCGTCGTTCTGGCTGGAAAAGGGATTATCGCGTCGCAGACCGTAGCGAGAGTAAGTGACCAATACTACTCATCTCTTTTCCTATGCGACTTTTTCCCTTGGCCATTGTTATACCTTTTTCCACGTCAATATTTGATCATGATTAGGGCATCTCCAACGGCAACTCGTAAATATTTATGGATGGGGAATGGACTGGAGTCCACGGCACAGATACGAGAGAACGCCACCCAACCATAGCCCTATACATTGCAAAAAAAGAAAAACGGATGAAATTCATGCAAACCGGACGGAATTTATTCAAGTTCTAATATAATTTATATAAACGGATAATATTTTGACCATTTTACTAAAAACTATTAAAATAGCACTAAACCCTATATCGGATGACCACCTCGTAAGCGTGGTCGTCCTGTCCTGCTGCACCGTCGTTGGCGTCCGTGCCGCTGTCTTCGTCATCGTCGTCCCTCCAGCGGCGCAAGGATGCTGGAGGTTCACGGCAGTCTTGTCCGGCGGCTACCTGACGGTCGCCGAGGAGTCACTCCGCCTCCTACTGCGCGGTGTGAAGGGCCGCCCTGGCAACTGCTAAAGGTGCTGGTGGCGGCCTTGCCCCTGCAAGCATTGGCGGAGCAGTCGCTAAGCGACCACTCCTTCTCGATCTTGGGGAGCTCGCCATCAAGGCGACGGTAGCATTGGCGGCAGCGGCGCTTGGCGGCCGTCTCCACGGTGGTGACGGACGGTCGAGCGCCCACGCCGCGGCGAGGTCCGAGTCGTTGTGGACCTATTCCGGCGCCACGTCTGTCTTGGTGAACGCGGAGCGACGACCGGCATTTAATCAGTCGTACCTCGCCTGCTGCCGCGCCACGCGCTCAGCCTCGGATACCATGGCTCGAGAGCTGGAGGCACCGCCGAAACTACCGCCTCCGAGGTAGTGGAGGATGCGGTCACGCGCCTTGGCGATCGTGGGCGGCAGCACCTCCTTCGTCCGCCGGCGGTGGCGTCGTGGTGGCGACGAGGGCCCGTCGATACGCACGTAGCGGCCATACGGCAGGGGTGACACCGGCTCGTCCTTCACGCGGAGGAGGCGCTGGGAAGTCGGCTCCTGCTTCACGCGGCCGCCGATGTGGAGGCCGTGGTTGCACGCAGGGACGCCGGATCGTCCTTCACCTGCTGGAGTAGGGATGTCGGCTCCCGCTTAAAACGCACACGCGATGGGGACGGTGGCTCCTCCTTCACGCGGGTCGGCGACGGTAGCACTGGACCCATCTGACAGACGAATTCTTCGCCTGTCGGAGCCGCCTTCGTGAAGAGACGGGACCGCTGCTGTGGCTGGTCCTCATCACTGGATGAGATGACTATTTCCTCCTTGCAGGAGGAGCCCACCATCGTGGATGCGGCTCGGCCAGGTGAGCGAGTGCGGCGACGCCATGATCCGCCTGACGACGAACTTCTACCATTGCCGCCTATCGGCGCGGAGAACCAGGACTTCGCCATCACCGCTAGGCTCGGAGAGGAAAAAGGGCTCAGAGAGGAGGAAAAGGATGGTGCGGTGCTCGGGATGGTGCAGTTCTGGACGGCGCCGGAGCGAAGCTAGGCGGAGGGCCGGTCGGCCCGCTTCAATGAGGCACAACGGTCAGAGTTGGTTTCTAGGGACGCGGCGTCCGCATTGAAGCGGCGGCGACGCTCGAGAGGTCGCGTCCGTCTGCGCCGCCTTCCCGTCTGGCCAAGTCGCGGGATCAATGTCGGCCGCTCCATGCTCTGGGCCGGCATGAATGTGACGTGGTAAGCTACACGACGCATTGGATGGAAACCGCAGGAAGGGCGGGTGGATGGTTTGGGTGAGCCAAGACGGTCAGAAGAGGGCTTGTGAGTAGACCTTGACATAGGCAGCCTGGCCCGACCCGACCGACCTTGTCCACGGGCCGGGCTCGAGCCTAGATTTCAAGCCCGATGGATGGGCCGGGCCAGACCCGGTCCCATCATATTTGCGTGTTAACGAAGAGGCCCGGTTTGAGGCCCTAGGCCCGGCGGGCTTTTAGCATGATGGGCGGGGCTCGGGCCTGGGTTTTTTGCATCGGGCTTTGGTAGGCCCGGCCAGAAGCCTGGCCCGGCCCGACAGATGGTGGGGCATACTTGTGAGCGGTCCAGACTCCCGCAAAGCCCCACGTTTGTCTCTGATTTGCGGAACAAATCGTGTCAGGACCACGCCGCAGACCGATACAGACCAGCGTTGGATGGCTTCCACTGTCCGGACGCATGCGAGAGGTTTACGAGTCGACGTTGGAGATGACTTTATATAGATTATTGTTTCTAGTCAATGTTGTTCTTACATACCAGTTTTATAAAAACTTTTGGATTTGTAACTGCCGCACAATTTTACATAACCTGAATCAGA